ATGTCCAGAAAGGCACCCGAACAGTATTCCTTGTTTTCTAGGGCTGAGGAAATATGATCAACAACTCGGAGTCCTTGTTGAACAGTAGAATGTTGAGAGCGAAAACCAAACTGATGGGAAGGGATATTTTGGGATTCTATAATGGGTAGGATTCGTTTCAAAAGGATCTTTTCAAAAATTTTTGAAAGGATTGGGAGTAGGCTGATTGGTCTATAGGATGTTGAGCTATTGAGAGGTTTTCCTGGTTTTGGGAAAAGGATAATAGTGGAGTGTTTCCATAACAGAGGGAAGTGGGTGGTGCGTAGGATACAATTGTAGATATATGTAAGGAATATGACTGCTTTGGATGGAAGTTGTCGAAGGATTTGAGGTGTAAGGAGATCATGTCCAGGAGCTTTACGGAGGATTAGTTTTTTTAATTGAAATTTTACTTCGGAAGGATGAATAGCTTTTGGGGGCAAGGAAAGTGGGATTGGTGATGTAAGGAGTTCTTCTACTGTTACGGTGTGGGCAGGATGGGATTCCGGATGTGAAATAAATGTATTGGATAGGTGAATGGCGAACTCCTCAGCTTTATCTTCGTCAGATGCTGCCCAGGAGCCATCACCTCGTCGGAGAGGATGGGAAATGCGGTGAGTATTTAGGATTTTTGTTGTGGTTTTCCAAAGGGAATTGTCGCGAGAAGAGAGGGAGGATAGGTAGGAGTTGAAGGATTGTGATCTGAAGGTGGCTAATTCCAGTTTTAATTGTTTGCAGTAGTAATTATAGGAGCAGCGGTCGGTAGGATGTCGGGTACGTTGCCATAATAATCTGGCACGGCGTTTGGTGCGGATTAGGTTAAGGAGGTGTTGGGGTAGAATGGTCTTTATAGGAATTCTGGAGGAGTCTTTTGGAAAGGAGGCAGTCCAGGCGGCTTGTTGGATTGTGGTAGTAAAGGAATTTACGGCACTATCAAGGTCATCGGGAGTTTTGAGGGATATGTTGAGATCAATATTATCGGAGATTATTTGGCGGAAAAGGTCCCAGTTTACTGGGCCCCTAATGAATGACGGTGGAGAAGGTTTGGGAACAGGTTCAAGTGAAACATTAAGGATTAGAGGACTATGGTCAGAGGAAAGTTCATTTAGACGTGTAATGGAACAATTGAGGGGACTTAAGCCGCTGTGGATAAAGAAATCAAGAAGATCAGGATTACGGTTGGGATCTGTGGGCCAGTAGGTAGGAGAGTTGGGGGAAAGGAGGTGAAAACGTTGGGAATTGAGTGCAGACAGCAGGGTTCGGCCACGAGAATTCGTGGTACTGGAACCCCATTGTTGGTGCTTGGCATTTAGGTCTGCACCCAAGATGAAGTGATGTCCTAAGGAGTCGAGGAGAGAACTGAATTGGGCATTGGATATGGATCGGTTAGGAGGGCAATACGCTGATGCAAGAGTGACCGGAAAGGAGAAGGTTTTTATCACGATAGCGGTGGACTGTAGGAAATCATGTATTGGTAATGGGAGTACGTGATGGGAGAGGGATTGGTGTACAATTACAGCAGTACCGGCATGTGCTTTTCCGTCAGGGTGGTCAGTACGATATGTCAGGTATTGTGGTATATTGAAGTGCTGTTTAGTGGTTAGTCGAGTTTCAGTAATTAGTGCCACATCAATGTTCTTGTCAAGTAGTAAAGTAGATAGTTCGTCTGTATGATTTCTAACACCATTCGCATTCCAAAGGAGAATGGATATGGGTTTAGGGATGTGAGTCATTTAAGGATTTTTCAAAGGAGGGATGAGGTGAGATACGAGATTCGTGAGGAGTGATATGAGTGGAGTAACAAGGGATTTGAAATCGGTGAGGAAAGATGCTAACAAACTTGTGAGATCTGTTGCATTTGAAGGAGGAGGAATATGAGGAATTGGTTGTTGGTGGTTAGGTATATTAGGATGAAGAGGATTTTGAGGTTGGGTTTGAGGTTGTTGTTGTGGCAGGGCTTGACATTTATCGGTTAAAGTCTTACCTCTAAGTAGTTGGGAGAATGATACATCATTGTTTACAATTCTGGAAGGCTCTCTCTCTCTTCTTGTTCTTAGTGCTTCATCTTGAATCCGGTTTTTCTGGTGTCTGGTTTTGATATTCTTGTAAATTTGGCAGCCTTTGTAGTTGGCCGGGTGTCCCTCCAAGCATAGGGCACATACTGCTGGATCTTGTATAGGTTTGGTGCACTCTACAGATTTGTGCTGTTCACCGCACTTCACGCAACGCGGCAGATGGTGGCAATATGTCTTCGTGTGGCCATAGGTCTGACAATTATGGCACTGCACGATGTCTCTCTTGGGATATGGCTTCTCAACTTTCACCATTGTGTAGTATATTCTTGTGATATCATATATTTTTTCGATACCTGGTGATGGCTCCAAGTCCACGAAAAACAATGGTAGTGGGATCCTATTTCGTAATCCTGGCTGCTCCCTGTCCTCCTTCAAAACGTTTGTTACCTGGCGTACATTGAAACCAAGCGTCGTTAGTTCTTCTTTAATAACTTCAGTGGGGGTGGAGGAATGTAAATTTCTTATCACTACTCGTAAAGCTCTTTCCTGCCTCAGCTGGTAAGTGTGAAAATTCGCATTTGTTTCTGATAAGTACTTCACTATTTTTCGGTAGGCTTCTGCAGAATCAGGTGTTATTTTGGTGTCATTGGTCCTGTTAAGGCATGAATAACTGCCAGAGCAGATTTTATTTAGTTGGGTGCAGAACATCTGGAAATTTTTTATATTTTTCACAAATATCGGAGGAGGCTTTGGTTCTCTGGATATTGCTGCAGACTCCATTACTTCTCTGTCATTTTGAAGCACTTGGTAGGGGTTTGGAGTAAAGAAAGGTGATTCTTCAATCGTTTCTTGTGCAGACGTACCTGGTTGGGGCTGAGGTTCTGGTTCTGAAGTGTTCATTTTGGTCACTGGAGGTATTTCTCGTAGGCAGCGACGAGTCCTTTGTTTGGCTGGTGAGCTAACTCCGTCTGACCGAGACCTCTTGGGCACCTTACTGGCCATCACTTGCTGATCATACCGCATATCATAAGAGAAAAATAAATAAATAAATAAAAAAAAAAAAAAAATTTTTTTTTTTTTTTTTTTCTTAAAATAACAAAAAAAAAGATGCCAACAGTAAATATCAACTGCTCTAATATACACTTTAACTGTATCACGTGAATAATCAGAGAGATTCCGCTATAAAATTGGTAAAAACTGAGAGAGGAGTTGAGGAGACAACCTTCTCATCAGCTGATCCACTTTTAAATTTTTAAAATTGGTTTAGGCTTTTATTATAATACCAATTATTATCATACTGTAATACAATAAATAAATGACATAAAGACATTTCAAATACTGTTAATGTAAAATTATGAAATGTTTGTTAAGTAATAAGTACAAGGAATATTTCTTAATTATTTCTTAGACAAAAAGTTAACAGATTCAGTAAAAATCAATTCAGTCTTTGTTCAGGTTAAAATTTTAGACGAAGTCACTTCTTTTTATTTATTTTTTATAAATTATTATGTTATTTATAAGGGCTCGTCTATTGATATAAGCGTACTCTTTGTTTGTAATATTTAATTTCTATAAAAGGTTTTCTGTGAGATCCACATTCGTGTTCCTTGAGAAATTCTCGCCTTTTTATTAAATAAGAAATAAATGATTTCCCTTGAGAGTGATGCCTTTAAGAAAAAAACATAAAGATGACACGGCACAAACGTAAGACACGAACAGATCCAGACAGAAAAAAAAATTCAAGCAACTTCTTTAGTCCATCCATAACAAAATTTCCTTGACATGGCGGAATTAACTTATGGAATCGGCTAACATGAAAAAATAAATAAAAGATCAAAAATAATGCAAACAATGTAATGAAATATTTGCATGTATTTTTAATGAATTCTTTGATATTATAAAATATTTGTTGCTAATATTCTTAATATAAATTTCGAAATTCTTTTCTATTTGTGATTTTTTCTTGTTTGATTCCTTTTACTGCGTAAGCGCATAAGCATGAATATTAATAAGCATGAATGTTTTATTTATTTATTTTCCTCATATATTTTCTGTTTTACTAAGGTTTCTTTTTCTTATTTTTGTTATAATTTCTATTTATTTCTGTAATTGTATATATTGTACGAATGGGTTTCTTATATCTCAAATACTTAATGCCCTTGACTGAGGCATAATGTATTTTTCTCAATAAAAAAAAAAAAAGTGGGTAACAGCATGATTTTTATTTATGCTTTGCATTCTCTCCATATAGAAATTATGGAGTAATTATATAAATATAAATATGGAGTAATTATATATAAATACCAAAGTATTTAAATTTATTGGTTATTAACTTTAATTAAATAACTCTGGCCCTACAAGAATATCCATATAGAAGACTTTAATGTATTTTAATTGATTACTTGAAATAAAATAATGTGAAAAAAATCCGAAAAAAATAAAATAATAAACTAATAAGTACACGAAGCTATTATAGCTATAGGTATGTTAAATATCCGATTTATAAATGTTAGATATTTTAACCTACTGACCTTACCAAAATAATTGGTAATTAACCCATATATTCATAAAATAAAGTATTTATCTTCATTTTCCTGAAATTAGTTAATAAAAAATATATTTGTGAAAGTAAATTATTATAAATTATTTTGTTTTTATCAATCTTGATTAAGATGTAAATATATTGTTATTTTTATGATTAGGAATACTCTAATATTTTTTATTATATATACTTGAATGAATATGGCTGTTAATTGTAGAAAATAAATAAATACAAACATTTTGGACACTTTTTTTAATAATTTGATCTCATACCACTTATATATTTTTTTAAACTTATTTATTGATAATTATTACAATCTGTCACCATTAAGGACACTTATAATAGTGTTCAGAGAGCACATTCACACTTTATTCACCATTTAAACTAAATATACTTTTTATTCTATTACATATTTTGTCTATTACCTTCAACCTGTCCTCCCTTCTTCCTGTAACGCAGACGTTCATACCCTCTTCGGCTAGCCTGAGGGCCACCGCACGTCCTATACCAGCTGTAGCACCGGTCACTACCGCAACTTGGTCCTCGTATTTCTTCATCTTTGGCTCCTTTCAAGTTCTCCTGAAAAGTAAAATAGTCCAACTCCAATTATTCACAATATACCTTAAAAACTGTTCTACAATATTAGGTTGTTAGGAAATTAATACAGAATCGTGGTTCTAAAATAAAATAATTGAAACGAAACTTTTTTCCATCAATACACTCCTACCAACATGTTAATTAGTTTTATATTAGCTCGAAATATAATGTTGAATCGCTATTACTAACAAATTCTGAAAATGCATTTTCTAACAAGAATTTATCTGTAAAATATGTAACTTTTAAAAAGTGGCAGAGATTTATAAAAAAAAATTTATTGGACAGAGGAGAGGTTTAGAGGCCTGTAAAGGTTTATTTCTGTTTTGGCAAAGAAGTGCAGCGAAACTTTATAAGAAAACTTTTGTTGTACTTGTTTAAAGCTCGAAGAACCAATGTTTCATCCTTTTCAATCTTTCCAAATGAGCGTTAAGATGGTCAGAGATGGTTGATATGCTTATTCATTCTCTGCAACTTGTCAAATAGTCTTTCTGGGATGGAAAAGAGAGCGACCAAAACTCGAAGAACATCATCAACGACATTCTTCCACGGCCAACTTTGTCTTCAAGACAGCAATTTTAAAACAGTTGCATTTAATGTGAACGGTGCATTCACTTATACTGGCATTGCTCAACAATCCATTAATATTTCTGTCCGTTTAAAGACCGTTTTGGTGTTTTTATTTAATTTTTTTTCTTTGTTTTTTTTAGTAATATAGCGTTCTACCATTTCGACTGAATTTAACGAAACGTAAAAAAATATATTCCATACTAATGAAATTCTACAGTCCATCAAAAACATTTATGTTTGGACAAAGATTAATAAGTATTGACGCCTATACTGAAAGAATAATCCCTCAAACGTAAACAGTTTGTTGTAAAAGGGGGTTAATAAAAATAAAATAGGAGGGGCGGTAAGACCGAACGGGCTAACGCGGCGACAAAACACACGTTGTCCGGCAGCCTGATAACGGAAGATATGATAAAATAATTACGAGTTCACGTTATGGTACCGGGGGTATGGGGAGAGAGCTTTTTACTCTGGAATTAATCCACCGCTATCACCCCTGGCCTGAGAAAACCCCGTAAAAGAATAGGAAGAGGAGGATTTAAAAAAAAAAAACATGAAATCATGCATTATTTTCCGGGCAATCCAAAGTATGGATAATTATACTTAACAAAAATAATATCTTAATTTTTCAATAATCGCCCTTTATAGTTTTTTTTATTATTTTGGGCCTCTGAAAGAGTTCTTTCTATCAGTTCTTTTTTTAGTCCCTTCTCGTATTAACGTTTTTCTTTACCTTAACAATTTCTTGAATTATTCTATTTGTATTTTTTTCTAATTTTTTAAATTTTAATAAAAAAAATTGAATATTCATTGTTCTACTGTTTTTAAAATCCATAGCTCTCAACTTTAAAAAAATAATAACTACGGCGTGTATTTGAACTATATGTATACATATTTTTGTTATGTAATAAAAAAGTAATTACATTTAAATAATAACATCAAAAAGTAGTAACAGGATTACAGAAAATATTTATATAAAATGAGACGTCAATTAGTATAAGACAATTCTGCATTATTGGTACTTACAAATAAAAAGATATATCTATATTGACGTCTTCAAATTGGTCTCTGAATTCTCCATGGTTTTTAAATTTTGTGATATTTTAGTCGAAATGATCAAAACAGTCGTTATTATTTGTTTTTGTTTTGTTTTCTTGCGCTACCTTAAATGTATATGGTGACTAAAAACATACAGTAAAAATTTAAATCACTTTTTTGTTTTATCTAATAATAAATTCTATTTATCACTTAGATTTGATCAAATTAGTCTCAATTGTTGCCTTATCTTCTGAAAAGTTCTTTTTTTTTTATCATTAAATACGCAAGATAACTTTGGTTCACGTAACTAACGTTTCTTCTTAAAATTTGTATTATGACTCAAATTGTTTGGTGTACATATAATATAATCTAAAGAATTACTATCTTATTTTATCTAGTAGTTTGTTTGTTTTTACTTCTACCTATATAAAAAATAAATTTTTAAGATGAGCACTGCCTAAAAAATAAATTTTAAAAATTAACTATACATTAATTTTAGCTTGAAAATCATAATGAGATCTGAATACATCCATGATGATTTTACACTTAACAATATACAGTGTATTTTGCTATATCATTTTTATAATTCAATTTTGTTATTTATTATATTTATAAAATTATTCCAATCTCATTAAACATATTTTTTGAGATTCCTGTGAATGATTCTTTTTTTTTTTTTTTTTTTTGTGAAATAACTAAATGAATATTAATATAAATCAAAATAAACGTTTAGCAGGATAAACGTTAGCAGGATTACAAAACCTGAGAAAACGCCTCATTAAAATTTTTATTTTTCGAATTCAATGTGTTTCTCATATTTCTATGTTATGTTATCAATAATTTATCACTTTTTTTATAATTCAATTTTGTTATTTATTATATTTATAAAATTATTCCAATCTGATTAAACATATTTTTTGATGTTCCTGTGAATGGTTCTTTTTTTTTTTTTTTTTTTTTTTTTTGTAAAATAACTAAATAAAATATTAATATAAATCACAATAAACGTTTAGCAGGATAAACGTTAGCAGGATTACAAAACCTGAGAAAACGCATTATTAAAATTTTTATTTTTCGAATTTAATGTGGTTCTCATATTTCTATATGTTATATTATCAATATTTTATCTTTTTTTTTATAATTCAATTTTGTTATTTATTATATTTATAAAATTATTCCAATCTCATTAAACATATTTTTTGAGGTTCCTGTGAATGATTCTTTTTTTTTTTTGTGAAATAACTAAATGAATATTAATATAAATCAAAATAAACGTTTAGCAGGATAAACGTTAGCAGGATTACAAAACCTGAGAAAACGCCTCATTAAAATTTTTATTTTTCGAATTTAATGTTGTTCTCATATTTCTATATTTTATGTTATCAATATTTTATCAATGAAGGTTATGAAGAGTATTGATGTTTTGAATTGAATTGGTGAAAGTTATATGAATTCAAAACTCAAAATTTTATGCAAGACATTGATTTTATTTTATTTGTTTCTTCGTAAGTGTCTTTGAAACGTATTTGTCATGCGTTTAGAAATATTTTGGACATTAATAGCGTGATAAAATAGACGCAAGACTTTTTGTGATGAATGAAGCTTTCTAAAACTTTATTTAAAATTAATATTAGCAATAAACACAACAAAGTTTAAGAAAAAAAAAAAGGTTTAAAGGTATGGTGGTTAGTTTTGGACTTGATTTTAGTGATATTTTATCTACTTAACGAACTTTATTCAAAATAGATGAAAACAAAGTTTTAAATCCTTTGCTTACCTCTTAAAGAGTTTGTAAAATCCAAAAACTGTTTCAAAATTCCGGTTCCTTTGATCACAGCTGAGAGATCTGATTAAAACTGAATGATGTCAGACAAGAGGCCCAGGACCTTGAACTGAGTTTTGGTTGCCGGGCGACCTTTGAACATAAATATATTCGTAGAATTCTGCTTATCCAGTTGTTAGAGTATATTGTTTGTAAATAGAATTATTTATAAATTATAGCATTTTTTCATGGCCCAATGTATACCACTAAAGGATCCAGGATTTAATTCTGGGGGGCTTCAGCACGAAATATATATATTTTTTTTTTGTAGTTGCATAATTAATTCGGAAGAAATAAATAAACTAACTACCTGTATGAAATGATGTTTAAGTGATCCTTTAAGTCCTATTAAATGTAATCAGACGAACAATAATACTTTAAGATATATATTTTTTCATAAAACATGGTTATATTTTACCATTTTGGGAGAAGAGAGGCTTCAGCCATAAAGCGGCCACCATAGATTGACCTGGGATGTATGCTGTATAGAGAGAACGGAATATTTTTATTTTGTTAATATCAAGTTTATATTTAAGTTTTAGAGTGCTTCCATTGGGTAGTTACTCAGCAAGTGTATTCACGTCATTATATCTATTATGTCCAAATTTACTTGATGTATTTATGTAATACAGTTGTAAATGTCATTAAAAAATAAAAAAAAAATAAAAACATATTTAAGTTATAGGCACAGGCGGATTTACGAAGAGGGGGCTTTCGAGCTGAAGCCCCACCAAATGATAAAATATAACCATGTTTTTTTGAAAATAATTATCTCTAAACATATTATTGTTTGTCTAATTACATTCAGTAGGATTTAAAGAATCACTTAAACATCATTACATATAGGAGCTTATTTTATTTTCATCTTCCAAAGTAATTATCGTATTATATATATTTACAACTTTTCTTTAATCGACCTTTGAGTATTAAATTTAAACATAACCATTTAATTGGGAATAAGGTCACTTATTAATTATTTAATAAACTACTGAATGTTCATTTCGTCTATGTTTATTGGCGTTTCGATCCCGGTATTTTTCTTTTTATAAGTTAACGATGGGATCCTCTTCAAAGTTTTAAAAATAGAGCTTCGATCAGGCCAGGGACACACCGACAGTCTCAGCACCGCCCACTAGCACATATATTAAGCTAATGTAGCTACTTAAATTGGTATATAAATTTCATTTTAAATATTTATAAATTCTATCTTATCTCATCATTGTTCTTCGATCTTTCCATCTGCTTTTTCGCCTTCTAGGTGGTGCCTTCCTATCTATTGAGGCATCTTTTGTTGTAAAGAGACTTTCTGATGGATTCCTCCGTGTTATATGCCCAATCCAACTTAACCTCCTTCTCATCCTTTAACGAAACATTGACCAATTTTTGTAAGCAGCTCTTTATCGGTCCTCCCCTACATCCGTTTGAACTCTGTGTATCTAATCGATTATATTTATACATAAATTATGATTCATAAGAACTATGTAATTATATCTGTAATGCTATGTTCCTGGCCTCGCGTTTCTACGGCGAGTAAGGGGTTCCAGGAACCGTATTTATTTGTATTTATATGTATTTATATCGATCCCAGAAGGGAACCGATCAACTTAAAATATATTAATGATGTATTTAAATGTTAGATACCACAGACCCCCTACTGTAGTATCCTAGATTAAACCATATAGTCTTTATTGGATTTCCTTTCTAAAGGTATCATGTTTATAAATGTACTATTTGTTTCTATTACTAATTGGTGGCATGAAAGGTAGAATGTAAAAGTACTACGTTGGTTTACTAACTATTATATTTACAAGCTTAAATAAAACCAAAAACATCTATATACAAAATAATAACTAAACCTATATACATAATGAATAGTTAAGAATCATATTGGAGGAGAATGCTTGATTAGAGTTACTTATGTTCTATTGATTTTATTACTTAATGATTGATGGTTGCCAACACAAATTTACATTAGTATAACTAAATGCTTGTTACCACTTAGCTGGTCCTTCATAGTGTTTCTAGCCGTCATATCTGGATTCCCTGTCTCTGCTCTCCTTCAGCGTCTAGTCCGTCCATCTGCTCTCTCCGGCTGTCTTCATCTTCCTCCCTCGACTCCCCCGCTTGAAGTCTCAAGAGCAAGTGTTCTCAGCTGCGTCCCAAGAAGAAGTCTCCTCCTCCCCGAGTCCCAAGAAGAAGTGTCTAGTCCAAATTCTCTATTTCCCACCTTCCTTCATCCCCCTCTCTTTTGGTAGTCTTTCCTGATTGGCTGAATATTCTCAGCCTAAGGGATGACCACGCCCTCTCCCCCAGGCCAAGGTAAAGCAGCAGGTACAGACTTAGGTATTTCTGGTGGAAGGTGTGAAAAGGTCTTTCGGGATCCTTTTTAAACACTTAGTTGTCGGTCTTTGTCGGTGGTCCTTAAATGTTTTTATTACCACTTACAAAAGGTTGGGCTTGTTGACCTCAGTCAGGTACCGCCAGATGTGAACACTTATGATGTTTATTTATACATTTAAAATAATTATTCCACCGGAGGTCTTTACAATACATAGCAGTAATTTGCCTAAAGAAACTTATACCGGATCTGAATAAAACAGTTAAGTGCAGAAGTTTTGATAACTGCCGAGTTTTTTAATGTTCAATAATACTAGGGGAACGAAGTTGGATTATTCGGGTCTTTCATTGTACTTAGCCGTGCCCTAAATGGCCATCGAACCCTACTTAAAGGGTTCTCAATTCCTTTTTAAAATTCACTCCCCTTCCCTCCCTTTCCCAAGACCAACAAGAAGTTCGGAAAATGAATAAATAATGAATGTGAGTGGTCTCTGGCCTGTTTTTCTTAAATGAATTTATGTGATCAATTTTTATCGATCATTTCATTTTTTTTTCTATATTTTTAAAAAAATATTCTTGATTCTTCTATAACATTTAAACTTATAATGTTTTTCTTTTAAATATATTAAGGTATTAAGAATTAGCTAAATCAAGAATCAAGGGAGTAGATGTTGGAAATTGTATATATCCCTTCGTTGAGAAGAAGTATGAGAGTTCGGAACATATATATTTCTCTGGGCTTTCATGTCAACCCCGGCTATCCATAATCTATGGGCCCAGAGCTGTCACCCTGGATCTCGCTGAAAATACGAATACGTCCCTCCATATACTTTTTGGCTAAAATGTTTATTCACAGGAAAAATCTGTATATTCATGCTAATTTATGTTAGTTCACATATTTGCATTTTTTACTAACACAAGTTATTATTCGTATGCATTATTAATTACACATGGTAGTTACTGAATATTGCATATTATGAAATCTAGTTCATCAGTTGCGCCACCCATTAAGTAATATATTGATACAATGTGTGTTGGGATGAAGATTATACTGTGCAGTTGACACATATAATATATTCTATAAGGTACTGTGACAAGTCTATTCTGCATTCTACAGCCTCACTATATATATATATATATATATTATTTAATAATTTAATAATTATATATATTAATTTAATTGGATATATATAATTATTTAATAACGAGTACATACTGTATAGAGGCTCAGCGCGTCCCAGGATCGATCAACAACTTATAAAATAGAATAAATAATTAATACCCGAAATCTGAATCGAACCCGATGCTTCGAGCATAATACCTAACTTGCTACTCCATTATCTTTTAAAACAAGTAACTTTTTTTTCCATTTATTTTTTTCAAGTTATTCACATCAATCCTTCTTTAATTTATTGAATATTATAACATTCCCTCACTTGGACTGTTTATTTTTTAAAAATAAATCTATGAATAATGATCGAGAAGAACATAAGAATTAATTCCGAAAGTTTAAAAATATAGACTATAATATTAATTAAATAAATTTAATGGATGATCTAAAGAAATGATGAATTCTCTAATATGAGAGAGAAAATCACTTTATTTTCATAAAAGCTTGCTGTCCAATTATATTAGGTTGCTACAAACACAGCATACTTATTAATCATTATAGACAATTTCTTAAAACTAATATATAAATATCCAAATATCATATATAAATATCTCTTAAGGTTTTTGAAAATAAAGTGTTGCGTAGAATATTCGGACCGAAGAAGGCTGAATTAACCGGAAAGTTCAGACGGTTAAACAACGTCGAATTGCGTAAACTGTACCCGGATAATATAATTGAGGTGATTTCATCCCTGCTAATCAAATCGGATTGTAAAATTATTGGGCTTATTAACGACAAAATTCCTAACAGGTTAATATTTGCAGTACCGAATAGTAAACTTCCGAGGGGTAGACCGAAGCGAAGGTGGGAAGATAGCATTAAAGCCGATCTGAAGGGACTAGGTTTGGCCGGGGAACGGTGGAGGGAGGTTAGTAATAAGCGATTGGTGGTGTCGGTATCGAACCTTCGGGTTCTCTAAGCCTTTTATCATTAATATATAAATATACAGTAATAAAAATATATATGCACATAGTATACAATATTTTTCTATATGTATTATTTTTATATTTATTTTTTTCTTCTTTTTTGACAATTTCTTCCATTCATTCATTAACATTCTTCTTCCCATTCTTTTCCTTCTCTCCCCTTATACATTATACATCATACATATTCCCTCCTCTCTTTTCCTAACCGACAGTGGATAACATAAAATACAATGGATGTGCTCAATAAATAATATAAAAATTCTCCTATGAACAATCTCTCTCCTTATCCGCTCCCATGCACATGGTGGTGTATGATTCCCATAAAGTCGAGGATTATATTATCTATAATCAAAACAATTAAGAAATTATTTATTCGAAGAATTTGTAGAAATTGAGTTAATTTATTTTTAGTTAAATGACCAAATCACATAGATCTGTTTTTGAATTATCATTTCTTTGAGTTTACACTCTCCTCCATTGCCTCGTTTTCTTCATTGGATTTTTAAGTTAACAGCGAGGAATATTTCTCCATCAGCTATAATATCCCCCACTCCATCTTATAATACTCTGGGTCAGTATTTGTAGACTAAATTGCTGTCAT